AGGAGATGGGGGGCGAAGGTGGAGCTTGGCAGGGTTGGGGTGACTCGTACAGGCCTCCCCTCAGGTCTGGTCTGGCTTGTCCCCGCCTTGCACCTTCCCTGCAAAAGGCACATCCCTGTCTGCCAGAGCTGGCTCTCAGGCCTCGCGCCTGGACCGCTGCAGTATCCCCTAATTGGTCTCCATCTCTGTCTCTCCAAGCCATCCGCACGCTGCCACTATTGCAGCAGATTAATCTTCTTAATATACTGCTTTGCACCTCTCCCCCCTCCCCCCAGAAGCCTCAACGGCAGCATCGTGGGCAGAGGCGAGTCCAGCCTGAGTCAAGTCGTGGAGCGGAGTCAAGGCCATTCTGGCTGGGCCCCACCTACCTGGCAGCCTTGCTCCCCAGTGGTCCCTCCCACCCTCTGACCAGGGCAGACACTTGATCCTTGGTCCTGGAGTATGCCCTGCACATTCCTTCCTCTGCTCCTCTGCTCACGCCGCTCTGGCCGGGGATGCCTTCCACGGGAGTTCTCCTCCCACTGCCTCCTCCCCACTGGCCCACTGACCTCAGCCAGTTTGAGCTCCTGGGGCCCTTCTTGTGTCTGCTGCACGTGGTGCTTAGCTTCGGCCTTGCAGGCTCTCTGTCCTGCCACATGTGAGGACTGCTGCCACTGTCGGTGCCCATGGGGCCGCCTGAGCAGGACTCTGGCCTGGGTGTGTTCACAGGCTTTAACTCCTATATCTGGCAAGGCAGCCTCGTCACAAGGAGGTGTTACCCTGTTTAATAGAAGAGGCCACTGGGAACCAGCAAGGTTAAAGGACTTGCCTGAGGTCACCCAGGTGCAAAGTCTCCGAGCTGGCAGGCCTCCTGCATTCAGGTTCGACCCCACCTCTTAGCAGTGCTGTGCACACCATGAGCGCTTTAAGGGTTAGTGGATGGAGGTGCTCTGGGTTTCAGGGGGGTCCTGGGGCTGGGAAGTATTGAGCAGCTTACCAGGGGCCCAGTTACTCCAAGCTGACAGGCTAACGGGAGGGGAAGCGTTGGGAGATGGGAGATGGGAGAGTTACAGTTAGCGTCAGCACAGAGAAGAGCCTGGGGCCTCTGGGTGGGAGAAGCTCAGGCTGCCTGGCCTCCACTCGCAGAAGCCCCCACTGGGCCTTGACCTTCGTGAACAGGAGGGAGGATGCAGTCTAGACCAGAGAAGGGACTACCTGGCAGCCTGATGGGCTTGTGTGAGTCTGTGTGGGCTGTCTGGGTGTGTGGCGGGGGCAGCAGCGTGGACAGGTGTGGAGGGACGTGCAGAGGCACCTTTCTAAGTGAGCGGTGTGACCTCCATCAGGTCACCACACCTCAGAGCCTCAGTTTCCCTGCCGTCAAGGAAGCCCACATCCCTCCCTTGTTTGGTGTGAGCAAGGAGGAAATGAACTCCTGGGAGGAAGGTAGTAGCAGTGTAGGGCCCGTGGAGGGCACTAGGAGAAGTTGGCTCCCACCCCGTCCCTTTGCAGCTGCAGTGGCTGTGATCATGGCTCTGGTCCCTGGGGCAACGGTGTTGCTAAGATTGAGTCTCTGTGTCCTCGTCCTGCATTTGCAGAACATTCCCAGCTTCCAATTTAGTAACTTGGACAGGCCTGGCTGTCTGGGGGAGGAGGACTTTTTCCCATGGATCATGGGGGATACCGGAGCCTTGGAAGGGAGTAGGCATTGCCCCTAAGTGTGTGCAGTGAGGAGAGAGAGGGAAGGCGGGGGTGGGGGAAGGGGGGGAGAGTGCCAGGCCCTCCTTTCGACCTGCTTCTTGGGTCCCACTGCCTCCTGGAGGCTGGCTGGGCGCGCTGCAGCTCCAGGCTTTGCCGCCACCCCTTTACGAGGGCAGTGACGCGCAGGCCTTGGGGGAGCCCACACCATCCTTCTGATGAGGCTCTTGGTCGGTGCGCTGGCGGGTGAGTGTGTGTACCTGTTAGCCCTCAGGTACAGGCTGTCGTAAGCCCTGTAGACAATGCCAGGAAACGGTGAGAACACCCCTCCTCCACACGCCTGGTAGTAGTTGTACTTTAAGCATTCCCTAATTAAGTGAATACATGATAGCAAAAGCTATAGTGCTTTCACTACTTTAGTAATTTTTGTTTCCGACAGCTTCTTTTTGATGTGTAATTTATATGTCGTAAAATTCACCCATTATACATGCACCTCAGTTATGCTTTCAAACTCATTCTTTATTCATACATCTACGTTCATGCGAAACATAATTTTATGTATGTAAGAAGACACATTATATATTCAGTCCACCCCCGTGTCTGGGTTCACAGGCCCCTCACTGCACTCTTGGATCCCGACAGCCTAGTATTATTGGACTCAGAGGAAGGGGGGATTGGGTCCCGCTCCCTGGCTCTCCCTCTGCCCTATGACTTTGTGCTGGTCATGCACCATCTTATGACCGCTTGTGCTCATCTGCAAAATGAGGGTGGCGGGGGGGGCTGTTGTGTGGATGGCACAAGGTGAGACACACGTTGAGCCTGGGAACCCACAGAGCATCGCACCAGTGTGGCCCGTGCTTACCAATCCAATCCAATCTTTATCCAGTCCAAGGATGGACAACTGGGCAGCCTGCAGAGTGACAGGGAGGCAGGTTCACTGACCATGGCTTTCTGAAACAGACTGCACTTGGGAGCAGAAAGTGGGAGATCCACTTAGCCAGGAGGAGGGTCTGAGCCCTGGGCTTTTTTTTTTTTTTTTTTGGCTGCATCAGGTCTTAGTTGCAGCATGCGGAGTCTTCTTTGTGGCGCACGGGCTTCTCTCTAGCTGTGGCGTGCGGGTTTTCTCTCTCTAGTTATGGCACGCGGGCTCCAGAGTGTGTGGGCTCTGTAGTTTGCGGCACGCAAACTCTCGTTGAGGCGCATGAGCTCAGTAGTTGTGGCGGGTGGGCTTAGTTGCCCCGCGGCATGTGGGATCTTAGTTCCCCGACCAGGAATCAAACCCACGTCCCCCACATTGGAAGGCGGATTCTTTACCACTGGACCCCCAGGGAAGTCCCTGAGCTCTGGGATTTAATTGTCCCGACCATGGCCCCTTCCCCACCACCTGCACTGTGCTCCCGCTGGAGGGACCGAAGGTCCTGTCTCCCTGTGAACCCTATTTGCTAGGTCAGGTGGCAAGCCCCCACTCACAGTCTGAGAGCAAAATCTCACTCAAGATCTGCTGGAGCAACGGGCTCCATGCCACACTGGCCCCCACGACAGCCACTCGCTCTCTGGACAGCTGGCTCTCGGCCCCGCCTGCTGACCCCGGCCCTGCTCCCCAGACCTGTCTTTGGAGAGAATCCATCCGTGGGCTGAGAGCTTCTCTCCTTCTAAGTAGCTGTTGAGACCCCAAATGCCCCTCACCTGCTAGTCAATCAGAAGACCCTGCCTTCCAGCTCTACCCCCTCCCACCCAGGCTGGCCACACATATTGGGGCCATTAGGATACATTTGGCAGTGCCCAGGGCCTGGCTCCATGTTTGGGTGACCTACCTGGGCAGCCGGCCAGCTGAGGCAGCTGAGTAAACGGGGGGAGGCGTCTGATGGACTAAGGGCTTCACTTGGTTATTTAATTCAAACTTCTTGAGTAGCTACTACGGATCTTGGGCTTTTGGGTGGTCAAGACACCTCATCAGGTGGGCAGTGGGCTCCACTCTGCAGCTGCAGCCTGCAGCCTGGCCAGGCCCCTCCCTTTCTACCCAGACATGGCTCATTCCCTGGCTCGACCCTGTGATGCCTTCCCCTTCCCTCTGCCTGGAGAGACCCCACTCACCCTCAGAGTTCATTTCAAGTGCTGCCTCCCGATGAAGGCTTTCCCAGTGTGTTCCTCCCTCACCTTCTCTCCCCTGGACTCCTGGATTCACTGTCTGGATAATTTCCTTTGGCACCAAAGCATCTAAGGTCTCTTGTGGTTATTCAGCTGTTTTGTGTGTGTACGACTTGTTTCCAGCTAGACTCTGAGCTCCTAGGAGGCAGGGAGCACAGCTGGCATGTTTTTGCGTACCTGGTGGATTTTACAGTACCTGGTGGATTATACAGTAGGTACTTAATATTAAAAGGGAGGAGGTACTTAATATTTTGCACTGGAATAGCAGATGAAGTAGAGTTTGTCATTAGTTCCGATGACCTCTCTAGGTTGTATCCTCAGTCCCAATCCCAGACCCCGGGTAGGAGCATAAAAGTAATTACCAGAGAGGTTAGGATCTTGCCGAAGGTCAGTCACGCAGTGAGTTGACAGGATAAGCGGACAATTAACCTGGGTGTCCTAGACTCGGGTAGCAGCTCCAGGTGCCACCTCATCTGTGACAACCCTTCCTGGGGTCTCCCTTCTGCTCATCAGTGTGTTTGTGTGTACGTGCTTCTGTGTGCATGCACGCAGGTATTGCGTGTGTATACTTGTTCGTGTGTTTATGTATATGTGTGTGTGCATGTGTGCATTTGTGTGTGTTTGTGTGTACCTGTATGCAGTGTGTGCGTGTCTGGAAGAAAGCAATGTCTCAACAGTTGTCCAAGAGAGCGTGCTGCCAAGTCCACGTGTGGTTTGCGTGTGGCTGTGTGACCGCGTATGTGTGTGAGGTCTTGGCAATCAACCTCTGGTACCGGCCAGCATCAGTGCACTGCTGGCCTGGGCCTGCTGAGCTGACACGGTAGCACAGGACAGGATGGGTCTCGGAGCACCCAGTGGGAGGTGGGCAGAACCCGCAGCACAGGCCTCCCCTGAGCCTGTGGCCCCAGGGTCTGAGACCCAGAGCTGGAAATGGCCAGGGGCTGGGGGCTTTGTGCAGTGGCCACCCCTGAGTGCATTTTCTCATGGACCCTTTGGGGGAGGGTCCTCCCCATTAGCCTAAGCATTCAGCACCACCACTCCCCTCTCCCAACACGCCCACTCCCACCCACTGGCTTGCTGTCCCCTCTCCCCCTCTCCATGTGGCCAGGTGTTTGGGAGGACTGGGATGAAGGGCTCAGGGACAAGCCTTGCTGCTTTATGCCCACCCTGTCCTCCAGCCTGAGGAGCTCACCAACGCCCTGGAAATCAGCAACATCGTCTTCACCAGCCTCTTTGCCCTGGAGATGCTACTGAAGCTGCTCGTGTACGGTCCCTTTGGCTACATCAAGAACCCCTACAACATCTTCGACGGTGTCATTGTTGTCATCAGGTACGACGGCCCCTCTGCTGCCTCTTGCCTGAGGAATGTCCTCGGGGTAGCCTGGGGCGAGGAGCCACACAGCCTGTTCCTCTGGGGTGGAGGGATCTGGAATCAGGCCCCGCTGACCCACAGGCTCTACACTCCCCCAGCTGAGGATTCTCCATGCCCCCAACGTTGCGCTCCCCCCTCTCCCTAGGCCTCACCTTGCTCACGCGGAACGTGGCCTCCTATCCGCTTTGGCTGGGCCCCTCTGAAGTCTTTGCTCTCGTTTCCACTCCTTGTCTTCGACCCCATGCAGACCTGGGGTGGGCAAGGACTGGGGAGCTGGCTTTGGAGAGGAGTTGGAGGAGGTGTAAGGCCCAGCCAGCTGTCCCCGCTTACAAAGCGCTTGGAGACTATCGCAGATGCTGGCAACTGGCTTTAGGGTTTCCGAGACCTTGGGAAAGCGCTCCACTGCCCCCCACACCCCCCAGGCCCTGGGCCAGAAGAACTGCTTTATTGGAATTGGCTTTAGATTTCATTAGAAGAGAACAAAGCAAACATTCCATAACTTGACGCTGCGGCATTGGCCGACTGAGGGAGAGGACTGGCCTAGAGGGGAGGGTGGGGAGGGCTGGAGCTGTCGCCCAGATCTTCGAGCTCCTGCCTGGAGGCCCGAGGGCCCCTTGTGGCCCGCTTTCTCAGTGCTGGTCAGTCCAGCCCCTCAGGTGCTGCTGGGCCCCCATAAAGGACGGGGCAGGAGGAGGGTGAGTATGCAGCGGGCTCAGGCTCAGGCTCAGGCCCAGGCCTCCCGCCCCTCCCCCGCCCCTTGCAGCGTGTGGGAGATCGTGGGCCAGCAGGGGGGCGGCCTGTCGGTGCTGCGGACCTTCCGCCTGATGCGGGTGCTGAAGCTGGTGCGCTTCCTGCCGGCGCTGCAGCGGCAGCTCGTGGTGCTCATGAAGACCATGGACAACGTGGCCACCTTCTGCATGCTGCTCATGCTTTTCATCTTCATCTTCAGGTGAGGCAGGTGCGGCATCCGCGCCAGCGGGGTGAGGGCCTGAGGGGCGGGGTTCGCCGGGGCCCTGATCCCCATCCCGTGGCTCCTGTGTCTTCAGCATCCTGGGTATGCATCTTTTCGGCTGCAAATTTGCCTCTGAGAGGGATGGGGACACGCTGCCGGACCGGAAGAATTTTGACTCCCTGCTCTGGGCCATCGTCACTGTCTTTCAGGTGCCAGGGTAACAGGGCAGGGTGGGCAGGGTGGTGGGGTGCCCCCGGTGAAGGCCCTGACTCCCATCCTCGGCCGGCAGATCCTGACCCAGGAGGACTGGAACAAGGTGCTCTACAACGGAATGGCCTCCACGTCGTCCTGGGCTGCCCTTTACTTCATTGCCCTCATGACCTTTGGCAACTACGTGCTCTTCAACCTGCTCGTTGCCATTCTGGTGGAGGGCTTCCAGGCAGAGGTAACCCCCTGCCCTCAGCCGTCCACTTCCAGGAGGAATCGGCGGCCCCGCCGGAGCTGTGGTGTCCTGGGAGGTTCTGCAGGATGTGCCCCTCAGACCAGGCTGGGGAACTAGGAGTGGGAGTTCTGGGTTTCAGGCAGCCCCTCGGCACTCGAGAGACCCGGTGGTCGTTGCGGCAGAGCGTCCCGAGTGGGCTTCCCCCGCAAAGCCGGCTAGGTGCGTCCCTAGAGAGCTGGACGGGGTGAGTGTTGGCCCACGGTGCAGCTGGATCCCTGAGCACAGGTGCGCTCGGGGACATCTGGAGGGAACCCATCTTAGCCGAGGGGTGGGGGAAGCTTGCAAGCAAGTCATCTGAGCTTTGGCCGAGCTGGTGAAGATGCCACCGGCGCCCGGGCAGGGCTGAGCTGCCCAGGGTGAGAAATGAGCCCAATTAGCTGCCGGCATGACAGAGATGAGCATCCTATTTCCAGCCCAGTCTCCATCACCTTCGTCACAGGCAGCGTCATCAGTTAATATTGATTTACATTGATCTCGCCCTTGCCCTGCCAGGACACAGCCTCTGCCTGAAGGGCTGCACCCTGCTCTGCTCCCTTAGCTCATCCCCTCTTCCCACCCAAGCCCCAGGCCCAGCCCAGCATCCCAGCGCCTAGCACAGGGCAGGTCGACTCAACCTAGAAATGCTCCAGGTCGGGTGTGGAGAAGCTCTCGGTCCAGTTCTCTCCGAGTGACCCGGATGGAAACTCCCGCTGCGGCCTGGTCTATAAATACCCAGCACACGGTGGAAAAACAAAAATCTATTTTCTGACTCTTTCCCAGCCTTGCGAGGGAAGGCTGTTCCCCCGTGGGCTGGGCTGGGCTGGTGGGTGCGGGTGTAACTCTCCCACACTGGCCTCCTCCCGTTGTAATTCCGTAGTTACCCATTATCGCAGTTCCTCCCCGCTGGGTGGCAGGGAGGGCAGCAGGTCAGGAAGGCAGGCCCTGCCTCGGGTGAGGGCTGGGCCTCTTGATGGGAGGGAGGGACATTGGTGCTCTCCCTGGGATGGGACATTTATTTGGGGTTTCCCTGGGGCCTGAAGGGTTAAGGGTGCCAACGTGCTTCCACAAGAACCAAGGTCTGTATGGAGACCCACCACTTGGCCATTGCTCTTGGCCTGTGGGAAGAGGAGCTGAGTGGGGACAGGGGTCCTTCAGCCTCTTCCAAACCACAGTTCCCGACAGCTAACATTCTCGCAGAAAAATTCCTGTGGAACTCTGTGGAAATGGAAAACACCCCAAGCCTATCTCCCGCCCTCAAGTGGCCGTTCAGCCAGCTCGGCAGTCTTGGAAACGCCCAGCACGGGCAGCAGCCCCCCATCACTGGTCCTTCCAGCAGACACCTTGTTAAACCGAGAGCCGCTGAGCCGGCCTGGTTGCTAGGCAGTGGCAAAGGCTGCGTGTGGGAATGGAGAGCAGCCTGGCCTTTGGGCCTGGCCTGGTCACTCTGGCCCTGCTGGGGGCTTGTGGCTGCCCCAGCATGAGGGATTGGCCAGGGCCTGGGGCCACATCCTCCTCGACAAGTGCCTGGGAGAGAGTCCCACTCGGGGCATGACGGAGAAAGGATTTCAGGATCAACCCCTCTTCAAGGGGGTGGGCAGCAGCATGGCCCTGAAGTGCCCGTGTGAGGAGCTGGACCAGCTTCGCACTGTCCTGTGAAGCCCTGAGTCGGGGGAGAGGTTGGTCACTCAGTGCCAGTGGCCTGGACATCTCCAGAGGCACCTGCCCTCAGCTGTACGGCGTTTCAGGGGGCACACGTGTGGCTGTGAGGGAGCCCCGCCATCTGGCAGAAGAGGCTGGCTTCTGCTGTGTGATGACCTGCTTTTTTACAAACGAGGCAACCTACCTCAGTGGAAGCAGTGGACACCCCCATTTTGTTGGGCGTCACCGGCAGGAGGCCTCAAGGGTGGCCCCCTGCTGGCCTTGCCACCCTGCCAAGAGGTGGGAGGGGGTCGCCTAGAGGACCAGGACAGCTGGGCTGTTTGTACTCTGACTTGCAGGGGGCGGTGCCCTCTATATTTATATAAATATACCTCTATATTATCATCTGCACACTTAATTAAATGAACAGGCAGCAGGCCCTGTGTGAGGCCATTGATTGATATCAAACAACACTGTAGCCATCATCCCAGTGTCACTTGTCACACCCCGTCTTGGTAGGAGCATCTGGTTTGGAGTTAGGAGTGAAGAGGCCTGTGCTTGCTCCGGCCTTTTGTCTCCTCCCCCACCTCTGACTTCCACCCACCCCTCCTTCCCACCCTCCCCGGCCGGCTGCTTCAGAGCCAGTGAAAGGTGAGCTGGAGACCCAGGTACGAGGCCCAGATGCATCTCTCGGTCTCTGTGTGACTTGGGGCAGTTTTCTTAACTTCTCCAAACCTCAGGCGCTTTCTCTAAGATGGTGCTTGCTGCACCTCCTTCCCACCTGGAGAGGAGGTGAGCTAGTGTTAATGCAGCAGCTGTGTGATGCCTGCCACGCCCCCAGGGAACGATAGCTGGTATTACTAGGATTAATGGAGGGCTCGGTCTCCTTCCCTGCCCTTGTTCCCATCTCTGTGGCCTCTGCCCTCACCCTTCAGGTTCATTCTGGCTCCAGGGCCTGTGGTTGAATTCTGGAAGGCCATACTGTTCCCTCTCTTCTCCTCCCCCACCCCATGTCTCATTTCCCCCACTGTTGGGTTTGCACCCCTCCTTTTCTTCCTCCTCTTTCAACATTGCTGCTGTTTGAAAGCCCGGCGCCTGTAACCAGCGCCCGTCCCCTGCCTCCCCCTCTCCCTGTAGGAAATCAGCAAACGGGAAGATGCGAGTGGACAGTTAAGCTGTATTCAGCTGCCTGTCGACTCCCAGGGGGTAGGTATGCGATCATGAGTCGGCATGCCCCCCGTGCCCCGTGCCCCCATTCTGCCTCCGTGTCTGTGCTTGTGTTCACGCTCAGCTGCTGTGCAACCTGTGGTGGCCATGGTGGTCCTTGGTGTCGTGAGGTTTGCTTTGATTTTAAGTCCCTTCCCCCTTGAGGACATTTGAGGGGAGGGCCTCCTTGCCTCTGCCCTGTTCACCCGCAAAGGGCGCCAATCCGTCCCACCAGACCAGTGGATGGGCCGGAGAAGGAAGGGACTTAGAATCCTCTGTGTGCACGTGTGTGGTACACCGCATGTGTGTACCTCCACTGTGGCCTCCGAGGAGTCTGGGTCGTCGGGCCTCAGCGAAGTCGGGATCTGTGGCCGCAGACCGTGTGCTCCCCCATCTCTCTCCTCTCCTCCTCGCCTTGAGCCTCTGGTGGAGACCCCACAAGCTGTCTCAGCTCAGAACAAGGCTTTGGAGGACGTGGGGGTGGGTGTGCCTCTTGCCAGAAGGTACCAGAATTTAAAATCTACTTCTGTGTCTCTGGCCCCTTGACCACCCAGAAGGTCCAGCAGGTACTCGGGGGCGTGCTCCTCCCCTGGCCCCCACACTGAGCCTGTGCCCTGCCGTGTCCTGCACTGGCACCAGAATTCGGGCAAAGCCAGGGTTGCCATGGGACCCCATGGCGCTGCACATCCCAAGCAGCCCCCTGGAGATCCCACTTGATAATTAAAGGCCTCGTTAGGGATGTAAACTGAGTTAATGAAAATGATCCCCTGAGATGCCAATTACGCAATATTTATGTCCTTATCAAAAGTAGCAATCAAGTATTTCTTAATAACTTCTTAAGGAGAAGTGTGTAATTACTGGGGAGCCTACTGACCTGCTAAGGAGGAAGAAAAAACTGTCCCAGAGCCAGGGAGAGAGGTAAAAACGGGGCCAGGGGAGAAGGTGGGGGCTTGGGGAAGATGGAGGGAAGAAGCAGAGGGACTGAAGTCGCGTCCTTGGGCTGAGCTGCTCTGTCTGGGGTCCTTCAGTTTTCCTCTGGGGCCTTGGGTCTGAGGCTCAGGGGAGGGCAGCCATGGAGGCAAGGCAGAGGGCACAAGTGGCCTTTGGAAATGAGGCTCTAGTGACTACTTCACCCAGCTCCCTCTGGCCTGTGCCACCCGCCTGCCAGGCTATCCCCTCTCCCCTCAGCCATTCTTGAAGCCAGTCCCAGCCATGATGGTGGTGCTGTGGGTTCTGGGGATAGCCGTGGGCTTCTCTGAGGTATCACAGGCCCTTGAGAGCCCTGGGCCCCGAGCCTGGGTGGTCTGGCCTGAGCCAGTGCATGCCTCGTGCCGTAGTTGCTGGATCCTTGTGGCCTATATGTGGTGTGTGCGTGTGAAGACAGGGAGACCTCGGTCCACCCTACCAACCCCTGCCCGGCCAGGTTCCTAATGGCCCGCTGCTCTCCCACCCTAGGGAGACACCACCAAGTCCGAGTCAGAGCCCGATTTCTTCTCGCCCAGCCTGGATGGCGATGGGGACAGGAAGAAGCGCTTGGCCTGTGAGTATCTCTCTGCGGGGGCAGCCCCTGGCTCTAGGCCAGCCTTGAGTGGACTCAGGGTCTCTCCGTCTCTCCCCCTGCAGTGGTGTCTCTGGGAGAGCACCCGGAGCTGCGGAGGAGCCTGTTGCCCCCGCTCATCATCCACACGGCCGCCACACCCATGTCGCTGCCCAAGAGCTCCAGCACTGGCCTGGCCGAGGTTGTGGGTCCTGCGTCCCGCCGCGCCAGCAGCAGTGGGTCGGCCGAACCGGGGGCACCCCACGAGACGAAGTCGCCGGTAGGGGGTGCCTGTGGGGGCCCGACAGTGGGAGATGTACAGACATCAGAAGGGAAGAGAGGTGGAATGGGCAGGCCTGGGGAGACAGCCCCCGAGCCACGGCATAGACAAGGCCCAGGGGGCGTCAGCGGGCTGGTGATGCAGGCAGGCACAGGAGCCTTGGCCCTGGGGGCAAAAGAGCAGAGTTCTGATTCTATTTCTTCTGTTCCCCGAGTGTCCTTGGAGGAGACTCATTTCCCTCTGTAAAGCGGGAGGGAATGCCTCATCTTAATAATAGCAAACCCCATCCAGTTACTGATTCTGTGCCAGGCGCTGTTCTAGACATTGCGTATAAGTGTTCTTAATGCACGAGGTCCTCACAGCAACCATCTGGTAGGTACCAATATCATCCCCATTTTTCAGACGGGGACCTGAGTCTCAGATTGCCAAAGTGATCTGTGGGAAGCTCCACAGTGAGCAGGCGACAGAGCCAGCACTTTAATCCAGGAGGTTGGTGTCAGGGCCCACGCTCTCACTGTGATTTGATACTGCCACTCACCTAAATGAGGAACAGGTGCTAGGGTCATATCGCTTTTACAGATGAGGAACTGAGGCACGCAGAGGGTTAGTGACTTGCCCAAGGTCGCGCAGATGGTGTGAGTCCAGGCATCCAGGTCCAGGGCTCCTGCTCATACCTCTGTCCCTGATGTGAGGCCAGAGAGGCTCATGGGAGCCGGGATGCATGTGAAGGGGCGTGGGGCCGTGAGGCCCTGGCTGAGACCGCTCTCTCCTCCGTGTGGCCCCCAGCCGAGCGCCCGCAGCTCCCCGCACAGTCCCTGGAGCGCAGCGAGCCGCTGGACTAGCAGGCGCTCCAGCCGGAACAGCCTGGGCCGCGCCCCCAGCCTGAAGCGGAGGAGCCCGAGTGGGGAGCGGAGGTCCCTGTTGTCGGGCGACGGCCAGGAGAGCCAGGATGAGCAGGAGAGCTCGGAAGAGGAGCGCGCCAGCCCAGCGGGCAGCGACCGCCGCCGCAGGGGCTCCCTGGAGCGGGAAGCTAAGAGCTCCTTTGACCTGCCGGACACACTGCAGGTGCCCGGGCTGCACCGCACAGCCAGTGGCCGCAGCTCAGCCTCTGAGCACCAGGATTGCAACGGCAAGTCAGCTCCAGGACGCCTGACCCGGGCCCTGCGGCCCGACGATCCCCCACTGGATGGGGACGATGGCGATGACGAGGGCAACTTGGTGAGGCCCCTGTGGGCACAGTGACCTCTCACCCCTGACCTTGAGTGAGGGGAGCTGTGCCTGACCTGGTGCAGGACTGGACGACCCCCTCCCAGTTGTATGGCATTCAGGGAGTTACCAGCACGCCCAAAGGATCTCGAGGGCTATCATCCCTGAAGCCAGGCTTCAAAGAGCCCCTTTCTCCCTCTGCCCGTCCCACCAAGCCCCAGATCCTTGTCACGCCTGGGTCTGCAGCTCTGCATCCTTGGTGGATAAGAATGGCTTCGGGCAGATGCGTATGAATCTTTCATGGCCCTCCCACTGTGACTCAGAAAGACCCATCACTCATCTCTCCAAACTGATACCCTCCTCTGTCCCCCTCTCTCACCTCTACCTCATCACAAGCCTTGATCTCACACCCACTTTTACCCATTCACCCTTTTCCCAACCCCCCCCCCACCGTTAACCCTGGGGATGGGCCTCAGGGAACTGGGACCCCAGGGTTAGCATGTGAGAAAGGTCCAGTGTCTCCTCATGCCAGGTGTGTCTTCGAACAGGCAGCTGTGATGGGGACAGTGTCTGATAATTGATGTGGCTTCCAAGCCCGCCGGGGAGGGAAGGAGGGAATGCAGGCAGGGGGCTGGGCTGGAGGCAGAGACGGGAAGAGAGGAGAGCCCGGGGGAAGCGAGGGGTTGGGGAGATGAAGGAAGTGAGGTATGCTCAGGGGCTGAGGGGGGCTTTGGGGAGATGCTGCGGTGGTTTTAAGAATACAGGAAGAGAAGCCAGGCATAGGGCTGGGCCAGAGTGGAGAGGGTAGACCAGGCGTGAGGGCCACGGGGCCGCTGAGGAACCAGGGATCAGGAACTTGGAGGCATGGCCCTGCTCACATCCCGGCCCATCCTTCTACAGAGCAAAGGGGAAAGGATGAGAGCATGGGTCCGGGCCCGGCTCCCTGCCTGCTGCCTGGAGCGAGACTCCTGGTCTGCCTACATCTTCCCTCCTCAGTCAAGGTCAGCAAGAGGGTCCCTGGCCTGCACCCCAACCTCTCCTTCTCGTGGGAAATTCTCCTGCAGCTCCGTCCCAGGGATGCTAGAAGTGTCCCCTGACGTGGGGGAGGATGAGAGCGGGGCCTGGGGATGGGAGGGCCCAGGATGGGGAGGGGAAGTGCCCCTTACTGCTGTCCCCCCCTCCTGCTCCCCCCGACTCAGCCTTTGCCTCTGTCCCGGAGCAGGTTCCGCCTCCTGTGTCACCGAATCATCACCCACAAGATGTTCGACCATGTGGTCCTCGTCATCATCTTCCTCAACTGCATCACCATCGCCATGGAGCGCCCCAAGATCGACCCCCACAGTGCTGTGAGTCACTGGGGCTGACACAGCGGCTTCTGAGCGTCTGCGTGGCGCCCAGCCCTCCCGGATTAGCGGGTTAGCACGCACGCAGCGAGCCAGGCGGGCAGGGAGGCCCGGAGAGACACAGAGGCAGGGAGCCAGGAATCTCTCTGACTCTGACCCGTGCAACTGATGCCCCAGGATGCCTCCTGTGTCCCCTGCCGGCCTCCGTTTCCCTTCTGTGACACAGCAGCCAGCTGGGGGAGTGGGCCTTTCTCCTCGCCTGGGGAAAAGTGAGCTTCGTGGCACCCAGCTGTTTGCAGATGGCCTGCTCTCATGCGCCGGGGGCTTGTGAGGCCTGTATGTGAGTCAGTGAGTGTCATGGTGAGGCCAACAGTGAGACTGGCCCTGGCCGGGCTGAGTGGCAGAGGGTCTCCAGGACCTGGTGACTGACGGGGAGGCATCCTGCCCAACCTGCCCCATTGGCGGTGCCACGTCGGGGAGGGAAGCTGCCCTTTGCTCCTCAGGGTACTGCCAGGTCACAGGCAAGTAGGGTTTCAGGGGCATTTGGAGGACCGCTGGTCACTTCTGCTTGGCTGTGAACCTGCCAGTCCTCCTCGGAAGGAGAGGAGAGGCCATGGGCCGGCGCGTCTGGACATACTCCCCTGGGCCTGACCTCTTCAGGATGGGCCCAGCCGGTCCTGGGAGCTGTCTCTCCCCAGCCTGGCATCGCAGCCTGTCGCCCCACAGCGATCCAGGTCCTAGAAGGGTGGGGGGCTCTGCTGCCCCTCCTGGCATCTTTCACCACTAGCTTGGAGGTGGTCTCCGCCCCTCCTTGCTGCCTCGCATACCATTATTCAGTTTTCGACATTTCTGGGGCTTCTGTTTTCCATTAGGGTGGGCTCCAGCCAGGCCAGTGTGGGGGGCGGGTGGTGGTGGTGGTGAAGGGAGCCTGGGGAGTGGAGGGCCAGCCTGGGAATAGGTGAGAGAGCACAGCACCGGGGACCCCCACCTCTGGAGCAAACGTGGCTGGTCACACTGGCCCCCTCATCTGCCTCCTGCCCAGGGCCCTGCCTCAGAGCTCACTGTGGCCACGTCTCTCCCCCACCTTCCCACTCAGCCCCTCCATCTCTAGCTCTGTCACGTGCGTGCTTCTCCCTCTCCCCTTTCGCTGCTTCTCACTCCCTCTGACACTCACACTTTGCCTGCCGCCGCCTCTCCAGCTCTCTACACCCCTCTCTTGGCCACCCAACGATGGAATCAGCCCACAGATATCAGGGGATTGGGTCGCCTTCTTTCCTGCCCTGCTTCACCCTATGCCTGGCATAAATATGGTGCCTGGGGACGCACAGCCTGTACTCAGGCCCCCAGCTTGCCCTGCGGCTCCATTTCTGGGGCACAGCAGGAAAGCGAGTGCGTGGAGCAGAGGAGAGTAGGATGGGGCGTCAAGAGATCAAGCTAAATCCTGCTCCAGTTTTAAGAAAGGAATTGATGAATAGGGCCTGCGATACGGGGCTCAGATGACAGCACTGCGGTGGGAAGCACTTTCCCCTCAAGGCCGCTCCGGGAGGTAGTGGGGGGGGCAGTTCTGTTCAGGGGCAAGATTGGGACTGTGGCCAGAGCTGCAAGTGAGTCGGGGCTTGACACCTTCTCCGTGTGTGTGTGTGTGTGTGTGTGTGTGTGTGTGTGTGTGAGTGTGTGGGTGGGGGGGGGGGGGGGGGGGAGCAGGAAGGGGTTTGTCTGCTTTGCGGGGGAGAGTGGGGGGGTTCGTTCTGAGTCAGACATTGGAGGCAGCTCCTGGCTTCCGTGTGCAGAGCAGACATGGCCCGAGGAGGGGGTCCCAGTGGCGACACCTGCCCGCTCTCTCTTACAGGAACGCATCTTCCTGACCCTCTCCAATTACATCTTCACCGCAGTCTTTCTGGCTGAGATGACAGTGAAGGTGACGTGGGGTCGGCGTTGGTTTGGAGCCATCTGGCGCTCGGTGGGGGTGGAGAGCCTGGGTCACAAATGGAGGGCAGGGCTGGGGACTGACTGCAGGGAGGCGGCGGTGCTGGTGACGCACGGGCGTCCTCAGGTGGTGGCGCTGGGCTGGTGCTTCGGGGAGCAGGCCTACCTGCGCAGCAGCTGGAACGTTCTGGATGGCCTGTTGGTGCTCATCTCCATCATCGACATCCTGGTGTCCATGGTCTCCGACAGCGGCACCAAGATCCTCGGCATGCTGAGGGTGCTGCGGCTGCTGCGAACCCTGCGCCCGCTCAGGTGCCCTGGGCAGGCACACCCCGACGGCCAGCGCCCCACCTGCCCCTGCTTCCTGCCTGCGACCCCACAGGGAGCCCTGTCCCCCACTCCAGACACCGCTTCTCACTGGGTTTAACTGCGGCCCCAGCAGTCTCCCTCCACGAGCACTCCCCTCAGTGACCCCCGCCACGTGACACACTCCTTCAGGGCACAGTACAAGTGGCCATAGGCAGGACCCTCACATCCTTCAGCTGCAGCTCTCCCTCGGGTGGTACCCTCAGGGGTGACACTTGGCCTTCCCCGTGAAGTGACAGACTTTGTTTCCTGCTTTCCCCCTCTTCCCCCCCCCAATCCCAGGGACTACCCGCCAGGTCCAGGTAACACTTGTAGCAGGGGATCTCACCAATAAGGCAGTCACCCCGACCCCCGCCCAGAGTCGGGAATTTCCGTGGGTGGGAACGTGAGCGGGGTGGATACTGACTGACCAGCGAGGGTTTTCCTGGCTGTGATGACCCACCTCCCCACCCCTTCCGTCCCTGCCTGCCCTCTACGTGCTCCGCACAAGTTTGTCTCCCCATCCCCACAACACACTGCACCCCTGGGTTGAATCAGCACCCCAGCCCCATCAGGTAATCCTTTGACATCCTGGCAGTGGAGGTGGAGGTCTGGGGGGGGGTTGGGGGGTGTCTGCACTGTAAGCCCAGAGTGTCAACCTCTTCCCTCCACTAGAGCCCAGGATGGGGACAAGTGAGCCAAGATGGGAGGGAGTGGCAAGCAGGGCAAGGGGCAAGGGAGCGTCTGAGCCGGGAACCCCTCTTACCCCCCTCCCTCCCTCCCCAGGGTAATCAGTCGGGCACAGGGGCTGAAGCTGGTGGTGGAAACGCTGATGTCCTCGCTGAAGCCCATTGGCAACATTGTGGTCATCTGTTGCGCCTTCTTCATCATTTTTGGCATCCTGGGGGTGCAGGTTTGTGGGGGTCTGGGGCCAGCTGTCAGCAGAAACCCGAGGAGTAGCCTTCCTCTTGGCCCCGGGGTGCTGCGGCTCCAGGTGCCGCCGCCACCTTTATCCCAGAGAAGAATAAATAGGGATGCTTCCCTCCTAGCCCGAGGCCTCAGGCCCCTTTGCCTCCTGGGCATTCTGGAGAAAACTGGGAACCTGGAAGAGGCCACAAAGGGGACAGGGCCTCGGGCTCTGGCCAGTGCCCACGCAGGCTGCCGCTCTGCCCTCTCACGCGCCACTCCAAGCGCAGACGCTGGCCTTGGCCCACAGTCTGCTCAGGGATCCCCTCCCTTCCTTCCCTGCTGGAGCGGGTGGGCTGCAGGCCAGGCCTGGGGATCCAGGGCCCAGGCAGCTGGGCCAGGTTAGCAGGGAGCTGGCAGGCAGGCGGGTGCAGACCCCAGACGAGGCAGGAAGTGGGGGCTGCTGGGGAAACTTGGCCTCTGTCCCAGGGAGGGAACTTGGCTTTGGAGGAAAAAGAAAGGGAGCTGCCTGCAGGATTCAGCCGGCGCCTCCGGGAGCCAGGGGAGCCCCTCCGTCCTGCTCTTCCGGAGCACCCGCCTCGCCCCAGGCTCCAGATGTTTCAGCTGCAGCGTAGATGGCTGCTGTCGGGCCAGAGGGAGCTCCTGGGTGGCCACCCCCACCCCTATCCCTTCCTTTGGCTCCTTGGGGTATCCACTCTGCCCTGGGGACGGGGTATTCTTGTGTTTCCTCGAATCCTCCGGCTCTAGAGACCAGTCTGGTGTACGTTTGCCAGGGCTGCGTGGTGCCTCTCTGCACACCCGGTGCCCCTTCCCCTTCCCTTACTTTTGGCCTACTTAGGCCCCCTGGTCCTCCTGTCCCTCAAATCCCTTCCCCGCAGTCATAGCCTTGTCTGTTCTGGAGTGAGGGTGAGCTTTCCAGTCGGAAAGACCTGAGCTCGGGCCCCCTTTCCACCACCTACTGGTTGTATGGCCTTAATGAGTGAATTTACTTCTCTGAGCCTCAGTTTTCCTCATCTGTTAAGTGGGGTCCATTAATCCAGATCCCTCGGCCCTCCCCTAGAGTGCCCGCCTCGCTGGGTTGGGGGTGGTCCTGAGAATTTGTACTTTGGAGCACATTCCCAGATGGTGCTCATGAGGCTGGTCCAGGGGCCCCACCTGGAGAATCGCGGGCCTCCCCCTTTGTAGAAAGTGAATGACCGTTCCCCTCCTTCCACCCTTTCCCAGTGCCCTCCCCAAGGACCTTTCCTTCCTCTCCAGGGCCTCTGCTCCAAGGAGCCCCGAGAAAGGGGTGCCTGCAGGGGAGGCTCCTGTCAGGGTTTCTCTGACCTGACTGAGCTCCTGGCCCTCACCCAGGGCGTGCCCAGAGCTCTTAAGCCCCAGGGCTGGTCTGGGCTTGCTGTGCTTACAGCTCACTTCTCTCTGTCTCCGGGTATGTGTGTGTTCAGCTCTTCAAAGGGAAGTTCTTCGTGTGCCAGGGCGAGGACACCAGGAACATCACTAACAAGTCAGACTGTGCTGAGGCCAGTTACCGGTGGGTCCGGCACAAGTACAACTTTGACAACCTCGGCCAGGTGAGCCCCAGGCTGGTGGAGGTGGGAGTGGTGGCAGGAGTCTGGGGAGGACACAATTCCATGCTTAGTGATGCATGCAGGGCACTGGCCCACCTCTGTCTCATCAGCTAGTGAATGGGTCCTAATGGGATCCCCTTGGAGGGGAGCAGTGAGGATACAGTGCGATGAGGTGTGTATTTGTTTAGCATGGTACAAGGTGCAGGCATATTGTCAAGATGATTCTATTTCTCACTCCACATTCACAGAAACAGAAATGTAGAAAATGAAACAGCTCACTCAGCGTTGCTGGTTTATTTCCCCGCCCCACCCTGGTTTTGGTTTCCGGATTTCCAGGACTCTGGGGTCCCTTGCTCTACCTGGCTGAGGTCGTCTCCCACGGCTCTTCCGGCTTCAGAGCAGCCAGGGAGACTTGGGAAAGAGAGCGCTCCCGGGGCCTGGAGCGCGACTCCGAAGGCCTAGGGTCCCCCGAGCTACTGCCAGGAGGTGCTTTGGGTGGAAGTGGTGGGTGGCTTGGTCATGCATCCTAGGTTTCAAGTGGTCCTTTCCTCCCCCCCCCACCCCCGCAGGCCCTAATGTCCCTGTTCGTGCTGGCCTCTAAGGACGGCTGGGTGGATATCATGTACGATGGGCTGGACGCTGTCGGTGTGGACCAGCAGGTAGGGCTGAGGTGGGCAGGATCCATCTTTGCGCTCAGGTCACTCACCGTGGGCCAACTCCAGGTGTGATGGGCGTAGGCTTGGACAGAAAGACAGCAAGGCAGGTTGGCAAAACGCCATCCAAGAGGCATCACCTCTGACAGCAGAGGCTGTTAACTGGTGGCCTGCGGGCAAATCCGTTCATGCTTTATTGGCTTGCAACATATTTAAAACTTTTTGAATTAGTGGTAAGCGGTTAGAAATTGACAAATTTGGGCTTCCCTGGTGGTGCAGTAGTTGAGAGTCCGCCTGCCGATACAGGGGATGCGGGTTCGTGCCCTGGTCCGGGAGGATCCCACATGCCGCGGAGCAGCTGGGCCCGTGAGCCATGGCCGCTGAGCCTACGCGTCAGAGCCTGTGCTCCGCAGCGGGAGAGGCCACAGCAGTGAGAGGCCCGCGTAATGCAAAAAAAAAAAAAAATTGACAAATTTTACATGAAAATCTGGATTTGGGCCTGCTCAGGAGAAGTCCAAAGATCTGGAAACACTGGGCTTGAATTCCTGAAGGGCAGGAGTCAGCTGAATCAAAGAAGCAGCTGCCCCTTTTGGATAGAACATCCACTCTCTATATTTAACCACAGTCCCCACCTTTCCCTACTGCCTAACACCAAACCCACATCATTCCTTTACATCACCTGCTGGGTCTGCGTAACTGAGTGCGCAGGCCCTGTGTTAAGGAACGCAGGCTGTAGGGCAGCACCTGTGACAGTTACCTTGCGCTAATGTCTCCACTTTGTCCTTCCTGCTCCCCACCAGCCCATCATGAACCACAACCCCTGGATGCTGCTGTACTTCATCTCGTTCCTGCTCATCGTGGCCTTCTTTGTCCTGAACATGTTCGTGGGCGTGGTGGTGGAGAACTTCCACAAGTGTCGGCAGCACCAGGAGGAGGAGGAGGCCCGGCGGCGGGAGGAGAAGCGTCTACGGAGATTGGAGAAAAAGAGAAGGAGTAAGGAGAAGCAGATGGCTGGTCGGTAGTCTTTCCACATCTCTCTGAGTCGTACTTGACCTTGGCCTTGCGACTGTAGGGGGCTGGGGGCTAGGGGCTGGGGCTGGGGCAGGGAGAAGATGCTCCCACCCCCTCCCCTCCCCCTTCCCCTTGAGAGCATGTCAGCCTCTAGAGCCTGCATGAAGCAGACCAGTTCAGCCCTGTGAGGGCAGGGGAGCTACCCCGCTGCGGGGCTCCCGGTCTCAGCATTGTGCTCCCCAGATGATGCCAGGTGGGAGCTGATGCACAGTCCCTCCCAGCTCGACTCTGAGAGGAGCCTCATGGGATGAAAATCCTGCCGCCTTGCCCCGTGCCAGTGCCCATTGACCCCGGGCTTGGCCCAAGTGCCGGCCTTGCCTGCCCCAGCGCTGGCGAGCAAGCATCTTCATCCTGTGGCGACCCAGTGTCTGTAGCTGCTGGGCAAGGCCTCAGCAGAACCTACAGATGGACCGTGGCGTGAGCAAACCCCAGACCCCTCCTTCCTCCCTATCTCCAGAAAAACTCCCTGGCTTCCCGACTGTCCTTTTTTTTGCCAAGCGGTACAAAAATACTCCCTCAGCTCAGGGAAGGTCTGAGGTCACAGGAACTTTAAGGTCATGACGCTCTGGACTTAGACCCTTCAGCCCCTCACCTTGGATCTCCAATATCTCTTGCCATTGGCTGGGTGAGGCCCCCACCCCCTCCCTCCTCACACTGTCATGCCAGTGGGCGGGCCGAGGCTAAGCGAAAGACACCCAGATTCCAGGGAGGACGCGAGGGGTGACAGGCGTGCGGGTCCTGTTGTCTCCCCGTGTGTCTGCAGATGTGTCTGCACTTGGCTCCCCTCCCCGTCTGCAGGACTCCTGCCTCTCTGTCTGGTACTCGACAATCTGTGGGACTCTCTCTCAGTCACTGCCCACGTCTCTCTAAGTGTCTTTATGTGTGGGTTTCTCAAGGCCTTTGTGTGTCTGCCTCTGTTTGGTCTGTGGGTTTCCCCTCCTCTCTCTACCCTTTCACAACCGTCTTTCTTATGCCGATAAGATCCCTGAGGTGCTCTGAGTTTTCCCTTTGGTTTGTTGAAATGTGAGTACTACCAAGAGGGTCGGGGGCTGCGGCGCCCCCCTCAGCCCCTGGCTCTATCTCCTGCCACCTGTGAAGGCACCTGGAGCGAGGGGAGGGCTGTAGGGGGGTGTGGGGGAGGTTGGGTGGGACAGAGCCCACGCTCCCTGTGAGAGGCGGGGCTGCTCCAGTGGGCGGGGCGGGGACACTGGCCTCTGGGCAGCAGATCTGGGCTAGGGGCCCCATCGTGGCTCCCTGTGGACCGCTGAGGCTGAGCAGGCGCACTGCCCCCGGCAGCCATGCTCCCACGCCGCCCCTCCTTGCAGTCTGCCCTCTCAGCAGGACAACTGCAGATGGAACTCTTTTGGCAGGAGGCACCCGTGGCCCTGCCTGACCAGCTGGCTCCCCTTCCGGGGTCTGCAGCCTTCTCAGGTGCTGCTGAGGCCGCAGCACGGGTAGGAGTGGACATCTGTTCTGAGGACAGGCTTCCTCCCCTCCCCATGCCTCCGACTCCCTGCCCCTGTGACCCTGATGAGCTGGCCGAACTGCTCAGCTTCCTCGAGTGCCCTGTGCCCGAGTCTGGGGCTGGCGCTCAGGACGAGCCGCCCTTGCTCAGCACGCCCTATTCACAGGAAGAGTGAGGGTCAGAGCCCAGGGGGAGCAAGCTGCTGAGGGGGCCCTGCCCAGCCCACCTGGTCCGGCCAGTGACCGATGTCGTGTTTCGTTCTTTTAGATCTAATGCTGGACGATGTAATTGCTTCCGGCAGCTCAGCCAGCGCGGCGCCAGGTACTGCGTCTGGGGTTGTGGGTTCCAGGGTGTGGCCCGGGCAGTCAGGCCCGCCTCATGCGTGCCGGCATCCTCTTTGCTCCCTCTCCATGGCTCACTGATTCTGTCCTCTCAGGGTGAGGGCTAAGGGTCCCTGGGGTGCCGGGCTCCATGGCATCCCGTAGGCCTGTGCTAGCTGGACAGGAGGTGAGGGCCTTAGCACACCCCTCCATCCAGCTTCTCTTGGTGGACGCTCCTTGTCTGGCCAGGCTTCCGAGGCCCGAGCTCCCAGCCCCCTGCCACCTCCTCCCAGGTCACACTGTTCGATTATCAGAGCGGCAATCTCTCCTGCCTCCTTATGTCTGAAGGGGATACTTTGATCCGAGCAAACAGGATAAGAGGAGCAGAGAAGGAGCGGATTTGTTTTAAAAATGTAACGATGAATAATTGAACAGACTCATTAATGGTCAAGTAATTGCAGTGGCCACGTCATCGCTACGAACAGCAGGAATTAGGAGTCAAAGGCCCGAGTTAGCCACATGCTTCTCCCCCAAAAGCCAAAGATTTGGGCGTGAGTTGGGTCATTCTCTTTGAGAGCCGTGTCCCTGGGAAGGCCTTCCTGGTTCTGCCTGTCCTCCCCTGGTCCTTTGGCCCCTGCTCTCCCAACACAGCCCCCAGACAGAGGTTCAGAGGTTTTGAGAATCTGTGACAGAGTTGTGGCGCCTCGTTACACCCTCTGATGTCTCCACCCAGCGGTTCCCAACCTGTTCATCCCCGTGGGCCCCCCTTGTCATCTCCCCCAACAGACCCCACATTTTAAAAGACTGTCATTGAAGTTGAGAGCACTTCAATTATGACTTTGTTTCACCGTTTTTATTAATCAACGGCACATCTAATTGCTAATCAGAGCTTCTGAGCTGCTGAAGCTTTCGCACTGAACGATAGCAAAGAAAGACCATTTTGCCATTAAATTAGCTTGTGGGGTCTTAGCACAGGCATCTGATTTCTTATAAGCCTTTAGAAATATTGAGAAGAACCTAAGGACCCCCACGTGGCTGCCTCCTCCGGCGGCTGAGGGATTGGGACTCCAGGCTGGGAACCATGGGCTGTACCTTTCTCCACTTTTCTGCATTCTCCCAGGAGCCTGACTCCAGCAGACGCTGCCCTGTGGTGCTGGGCTGCCTGATCAAAGGGGACCCCCTGAGCTGCCATTTGAGAGGTCACCCCTGAGGCCCTGGGTGGGTCGATATCTCCTGTCCCCGCGGTGCTGAGCTATGATGTTTGGCATTGAGAGACCATCTGTGGGCTCAGGAGGCTCTAGCTGCTTTGTGTCTGGATTGCCTGGGCCCCACATCTCAGAGTCAGGCTGTACTGTGAGTCCCTGATGTGTTAGGGAGTGAGAGGAGGGTGAGGGGACGTGGCCTTCAGCTTTTCCCTTACGGGTTCACCTGGTCTGTAGGCTGACGTGTCTGCACATACACACTCAGGCCAAGATACCACAGGGCTGGCCCACAGAGGCTTGTCCCCCAAGAATCAACATGTGCAGATTCCCGTGGCCCCCGAGGCCGTTCTCCTGACACACCCACTTAATGCTAAACACTCTCCTTACTCTCACACTGCACCCCCGCTTCCGGGGGTATTCTGCCGTGCTCCTGTTGGCACAGGCAGGTATGTGCACTGGTTACAACAGTGTCTTACCCTTCCAGCTGGTAATGAAGACTCAGAGACCCCAAACGAGGGCTCACATCACCCCATATTCCTCTTTCCCAAACCTTGTGTTCTGTGTGGTCCACACTAGAGCTTTTCAGATTTCACCGTGCCTGAGAATCACCCAGAGGACATATTAAAACACAGATTCCCCACTGAGCCCCACCTTAGAGATTCTCACAGAGTGGTCCAGGGTAGGACCCGAGCATCTGCATCTCCAATCAGCTCGCAGGGGGTGGCGATGATAGTGCCTCCGTCTACCCAACGGTGTGATGGGGATGACATCACACCCTCCAGTCCGGGGCTGCTGGAATCAAACACGTGCACCATACCCCCCTGCCAGCACCACTCCCACCCTGTGCTGCCCCCAGCAGAGGCGGAGCAGGCATATCCAGGGAAAGGCAGAAGGGAAGAGTCTTTGATTATCAGGAAAATGGTCCTGACCAGACACCTGGGTCCAGCCCAGCTTCCAGGTGGAAGGAGAGACCGGGGCTGCCGCACAAGCAAGGCAGCCTCAAGCGATCACTCAGCCTCCAGCACCAGCTCTGCTCCCCTCGGCCTCCTGGGGCACCTACCTCCACTCACCCTCTCTCCTTCCGTCAGGACCCACTGATCGGGCCTGGCTATAGCAGCTGAAGGTGGCCTCTGTCATGGGGGCCTGTGTCCCTGGGAGTGACCCCTGCCTTCCTCCTAGCCCCACCACACTCCTTTGCAAACCCTCCGCCCTGGCTGTGCCTTGCGCTCCCGGGGACCCCTACTAACTCACTGTGCCTGTGGTTCTCACTCACAGCCTTGCACCCCCTACTGCACCTCTCCTCTGCTCCCGCCCCTGACTGGGGGCTGGGCAGTCCTAGGGGTGCCCTTCTCCCTGCTGTCTGACTCTGGTGTTTTCTCCACCTAAGGCGGCTCATACTGGTAGGAGGCAGGGAGATGGGGCCAGGGCTGCCGACGTGCCAGTGACCACTGGTCAAGGCCCCTCCTGGGCTACAGCTGGAGCTGTCAGAGCAGCACACCCACCCGAGGCTCCTCCCAGGGGTTCTCAGTTTCTTCTCTGAGCCCAGGTGCTTGCCTGTAGAACCGAGGTCCGGGAGCAAAAGGGGCGTGGCATCGTTCAGAGCCCAGCAACAAGAGCCTTTGGGCAAACTCTTCGAGGGCACCCTCCGGGCCAAAGCCCCAAGGCTTTGTGTCTAAACCCACCTGGCAGCTGGTGAGGGACTGGGGCTGGGAGTTCAGGTCCCGGCTCCGTTGCTGCCTCCCAATGTGTAGATAGCTCACTTTTTGACGGGCCTCCTTCTCTCCCGCTGTAAAACAAAGGGTTTGGCCGAGGAGACGCTTATCAGGTCGGCCCTGGTACTCTTTGGACCTGTGCTCTAATGGGGGGATTTCTGGCAGCCTGGGCACCTGCTGGTCTGGGGTCCAGGCCGAGGGTAGAAGGGCTCTGGACAGACCTCAAGGGCCTGGGACCGGTCTCTGTGAACAGATGTCCTGCTTCAGTCGTCCTGCCCCCACCTTCCCTCTGGGCCTCCACCCGTTCCTCAGACTCCTAGAGCAAGGCCAGGAGGTGGTGACAGCAGCTCCATCTGGCCTGGGGCTGCCAACACAGTCAGACTGGGGTGACAGGGGAGGGGGGGGACTCTCCCAACCTCTCCTCTGCATTGTCTCAGCTAATAACGGGGCTAGTAATGAGCCACTCTTTCTAACCTAATTGTGTTCAAACATTTCAGTTAATTCTCCATTCCTAGTTTAGCATAATGGGATTGGGTGCTTCCGGCACTTATGGAGGTCAATGCAGAGAGAGTTCCAGCTGCTAAGGCACGGCTGGGCGCCTAGCGCCCTCTGGTTCTGTGGGTACCGAAGGAAGGAAGGAAGAGGCTGGCTCGCCCAGTCACCCTCCACGATAGCATCGCTGTGTGGATGACCTGTGACCTCCTGCTGTCCCCTGACCCCAGCCGCTCCACCCCCATTCCCCTGGGGGCTGGGAGGGCTGCCTGAGCAAACAAAGCCACAGTTGACTGGCCCATCTCTGGAAACCAAAATATGGCCCAACGCGCCGTACGGTGCACCAGAACACTTGGGGCTCTTTGCCTCTCGGTTATCCACACCTCAAGGCCGATGCTGGTGCGTGGCATCTGGTGAGGCTGGACGGGCAGCTCTTGGGTACTCTTCTGCCTTTGGCCTTTGGTGGGGGCCCACCCAGGCCGCTCCCCGCCTCAGTTTACCTCTCTGTTAACAGTCCTGCATGGGAAAGGACAGTTATAACCAAGCTGGCCTGAGCCCAAAGCTTCCTGCCGCCCCTGGCACAGTCCTCAGAGGCTGCAGCCCCGGCTCGCTGGCTTCCGCCCTAGACCTCCTGAGGGGGAAGGGCTGTCTGGGACCTGAGGCTGCCCCAAGCCTCCCCACGGGGCGCCTCTTCTTTCTTTGTGGCTGCCTGGGGACCCAATCTGTCAGCTGCCTCTGATGACATGTATCCCCAACTTGGCGTGGCCTTTCCTCACACGTGGAGGAAGGGCCCCCTGTAATCTCCCGCCCCCAGATTCATTCTGCCTGCTTTAGTAGGTCAACCTTCTGGCACCATGATTTTTATAACTAAGTGGTTCACTAATTACGAGAGAAATACGATGCCTCTGACAGATCTCAGACAGTGCTTCCAGCCCAGCCTGCAGGGGAAGCAGCCCTGGCCCCCAGGAGCAGGCTGGGCACAGCCTCATTAGAAACTGGGTGAGCCCTTCAGGTGCGCCAGGGCAGAGCCCTGTGGCCGCCCCTCCTCCCTCCGCCACGTGAGGGTTCAGGAGGCCCAGACCCTGCCCCCGCCCCCGGAGGCCCTCTCAGTGGGTTGGGGCAGCCAGCCAACAGGATGTCCAATTTCCAATCTCCGGTTTTATCTCCAAATCCCAGCTCTGTGTAACCTCCTCTGCTCCCCTCAAGAGGCTGAGCTTGGTGGGGGAGCAAGAGCCTTCCCCTCTGCATTGACGGAGCTTCCCCTGAGTCCAATAAGACCGGTCGTTTTTCATCTACTGATCTGGCCTTGCTGCAGAACATCGAGTTGAGGGTGTTCCGAGGGGCTGCTGGATTTGGGAGGCTGCCTCGGGAAGGGGGCTCACCTGGTGTCTAATGTGGGTGGGGAGCTCTGCATGTCCTGACCCCTTCTTTGCCCAACTGCAGCCAGTAGAGCAAATGCTTGGAGGGGTGACCCTGAGAGAGCTGGCCCTGCCCCCAAAGGGCAGTGCGTGGAGGACGAGGATGCTGATGACGCTGGAATGTTTCTGGCATTGGAGGCTGGTGGCTGTGAGGGACTGTGGGTGGAGGGGACGCAGGGGGCAGGGCCCGATGGCTGCTCTGTTCCCCCCTCCCTGCCCCGCTGCCCCACCAGAGGCCCAGTGCAAACCCTACTACTCGGACTACTCCCGCTTCCGGCTCCTCGTCCACCACCTGTGTACCAGCCACTACCTGGATCTCTTCATCACGGGTGTCATTGGGCTGAACGTGGTCACTATGGCCATGGAGCACTACCAGCAGCCCCAGGTAGGAGCAAGTGACTGGCCATCTGGACCCCACCTCCAGCCATGGGCCTGCCAGGTGAATCTAACCCAGCCTGAGACAGAGCGCCTCCGGCGAGTGCTGGGTGCCCTAGAGGGGGTCCTCTTGTACCCCTTGCAGTGACCCTCTGAAGATCGGTCTCATCTTGGTTTTACAGATGAGGACACTGAGGCTCAGAGAGGTTAGTTGACTTGATCAAGGTCACACAGCTAGGAAGTAGAGGACCTGGTTTCTTCACCCAGCAGATATTTATTGAGTATCTTAAACGCACTGGACCTTTGAGGGTAAAGAAGGCGGACCAGTGCCTGCCCTTCTGGAGTTGAAATTCTCGTGAACATCCAGCTCCAAACCTCCCCTGTGATCTTGCCACCTCTCAAATAAGCCTCCGTCAGCTGCCTTCCACGTCTCAGTTTTCCCATCTGTAAAATAGGGACATTGAATTGATAATGCAAAAGGCCCCTTCCAGTTCTAGCATTCTGTGCCTTCCAGCACATTCTCATGTGATCTCCTCACTGACCCTCAAGGAGAGAGATCCTTCAACACGAAGTTTGGATCATGCATGTGAATGAGAACCCTACTCTATCCTAGAGTGGTGACCAATGGTCAGCCATCATGGTGGGAAGAGATGAAAGGCCCCCTTAGACTCACCTTGTCTCCCAGATCTGGGAAGAATGATAGAGGGGTCAGGGCAGGCATCGTCCCTGGGCCTTAAGAGACCCTGCATCTTGCCTCCATCCCTGCCAGATCCTGGATGAGGCTCTGAAGATCTGCAACTACATCTTCACTGTCATCTTCGTCTTGGAGTCAGTTTTCAAACTGGTGGCCTTTGGCTTTCGACGGTTCTTCCAGGACAGGTAAAAGAGAGGGGAGGGGAGTAGGGGAGTGGGCGAAAGGGTGTGTTCTCCTGGGGAGATGCCCCGGAGGGTCTAGTGCATGAAGACCTTTCTTGACTCCGGAGGTTCAGACTGCACTCCAGGGCCTACCTAGGGCTGATGGTGGGCTGGGGGCGGGGGTATATCCAGGGCCTGAGGGATGGGAGGGAAGGGAGGAAGCTTGGCAAGGCAGAGCCTGCAGACACTGACAGCTGAAAACCAGTGTGGCTTAGACTGGAGCCAGACTGCCTGGACAGATCTGAATCCTGGCTCCATTACTTAGAAGCGGGTAAGTTTGGGTAAGTTACTTAATCGCTCTCCGTTTCCTCATCCATAGAATGGGATATAATAGCTGTATCGACATCACAGAGTTGTGAAGATTGTGAGTTCCTATTTGTAAAGTCTTTCAAATAGTGCTTGGCACAGAGCAGATACCATATTAATGCTAGATAAAAAACGAAAAGCAGAGGCCCTCGAGCTAAAGTCCTAGCCCTACCTGTGCCGCCGACTGGCTGTGTGACTAGATAAACCACCGCTTCTCTGCAGGATGGAAAGGCTGGACAGGCTGACCTCCACTCTCCTTTCTGTGGCTGAGAACGTGCCACTCGTGTTGCCACGCCTGCCCCCTCCTCTGCAGTGCCCCCCTCAGGGAGCTGTGTCCTGGGCTTTCAGGTGGAACCAGCTGGACCTGGCCATTGTGCTGCTGTCCATCATGGGCATCACGCTGGAGGAGATCGAGGTCAATGCCTCACTGCCCATCAACCCCACCATCATCCGCATCATGAGGGTGTTGCGTATCGCCCGAGGTCAGTGCCCGGCTGCCTGCCCACCATGGCCACCCTCCCAGGGTGGCCTGCCCAGGGGGAGATGGCAGGGCTCAGCTCTGCCTGGCTAGGGACGGGGTGGGTGTGGGCTCCGTGAGCCTTTCTTCCAGCCTCTGCCAGAGGGAAAGCTGGGAGCTGGGCCGAGGGTGGGGGTGAAGCCATGGCAGCCCGGCCCTGGCTCCACCAGCTGTGTGACCTGGGACCCAGAGGGGCCAGCTCACGACATTGTCCTGTCCTGCAGTGCTAAAGCTGCTGAAGATGGCTGTGGGCATGCGGGCGCTGCTGGACACAGTGATGCAGGCCCTGCCCCAGGTAGCTGGGAGGTGGGGGTGGGTGGGAAGGGTCCTCTCGGGAAGGAGAGGGTGCTCTCCAAAGGGGCGGGGGCTCAGGGAAGCTGGCTGGGAGAGCCGGTGGCACCTTTTCCATTTCTTTTCCTCTTTTCCAGGTGGGGAACCTGGGACTTCTCTTCATGTTGTTGTTTTTCATCTTTGCAGCTCTGGGCGTGGAGCTCTTTGGAGACTTGGGTGAGTTGGGGTAGGGAGGGCAGAGGAGCCAGGGCTGGAGACCCAGGAGCTCCCGGACTAACCCGGGCCTCTGTCCCCTTCCCTTCTCCTCCAGAGTGTGACGAGACACACCCCTGCGAGGGCCTGGGCCGCCATGCCACCTTCCGGAACTTTGGCATGGCCTTCCTGACCCTCTTCCGAGTCTCCACAGGTGACAACTGGAATGGCATTATGAAGGTGAGAGCCCACCGCAGCGAGGTCCCTCCCAGGGCTGGCCCGGGCCCCAAGGAGACAGCCCCACCTCTTGGCTCAAGATGAACTGGATGTGAATAAAAGCATGTAACCTCCTGTCCCCCAGGCCGGAACACTCTGGAACTCCCTCTCCCCAGGACATGCTCTGACTCACACTTCCCAGGACGGTGTCTAGTACTCTTCTGCCCACAGGACACCGTCACTCCCTCCTCCTGCCCTTCCTTCTCCCCCTGCAAAGCTCCGTGACACCAGAGACCTGATTTCCCAGGATGGCTCTGTCCACTGTCCTCACAGCCTCACCTTTCTAACCCGCCTCCCCAGGACACCCTCCGGGACTGTGACCAGGAGTCCACCTGCTACAACACGGTCATCTCGCCCATCTACTTCGTGTCCTTCGTGCTGACAGCCCAGTTTGTGCTGGTCAACGTGGTGATTGCTGTGCTGATGAAGCACCTGGAGGAGAGCAACAAGGAGGCCAAGGAGGAGGCCGAACTGGAGGCTGAGCTGGAGCTGGAGATGAAGCCGCTCAGCCCACAGGCCCCCTCGCCACCGGGCAGCCCCTTCCTCTGGCCTGGGGCCGAGGGCCCCGACAGCCCTGGCAGCCCCAAGCCTGGGGCCCCACATGCTGCAGCCCATGCTGAAGCAGTCTCCCACTTCTCCCTGGAGCACCCCATGGTGAGCAAACACCCCCTTCGCCTCAAGGGGGTGTGGGACGGAGACCGGTGGCATGGGTGCTCAGCGGCTCGGTGGTTGGGTGGTGTACAGGGAGCGGGCGGCAAGCAGACCCTGGGGCTCGTCCTGAGTCGTCTGACCCCCTGCCTGCATGTGGAGGGGTGAGCAGGCCCCTGCCCAGCCCCAGAGATGGCTGCCTGCGCTCACAGCGTGGGGCGACCCCGGCAAGCCGCTGGCACACATACTGGCTCATCCGTCCCGGTGCCTCCCGTTCGGCCCGGACTCCCCTTCCTGGCTCTTAGGTTCAAGGCTGTTTTCTGTTTCCTTCCTGTTTCTTTCTTACCCTCTCGCCCTGATTTTGCCAAACCTCTTTCCTTCCCCCACTTTCAACCTGCCTGATTCCATCTCTCAATCTTTTTCCCTGGTCTCTTCTCTTTCCTTCTCCTTCTCCCGCTGTGGGCTCTTCTCATGTTCCATCTCCCATCTCTTCTTTCTCCTCCCACACCTCTCTCTCCCCCACCTTCCACATCCCCTCCTCCTTCTCTGTCTCTTTGTTGTTATTGTTGTGTGTGTGCGTGCGCGTGCGTGTGTGTGTGTGTGTGTACGTGTGTGTGCACGCGTGTGACCTCTTTCTCTGTCTCTGACTCTTCTCAATCCCCTGCCATGACATTTCCCGTTACTGCTCCTCTGACCCCCACGCCCCTGACTCTCTGGCTCCCCTCATGGGCTGGTCCTCCCCAGGACAGACAGCTGTTTGACACCATATCCCTGCTGATCCAGGGCTCCCTGGAGGGGGAGCTGAAGCTGATGGACGAGCTGGCAGGCCCAGGAGGCCCGCCCTCTGCCTTCCCTCCCACCCGCAGCCTGGGCGGCTCCAACCCACAGGTTACTGTGTCCCTGTGCTGTGCCCCTTCTCCTGACTGTGCTGGGCTGTACCATGCTGTGCCATGCTTCTGGGGACGGCGGGGTCGGGGAGGGTGTTTCCTGCCCATTGGGTGTCTGGGGAAAGAACAGCCTCAGGGCCTCAGTTGCGCTTTGGGCCTGGCAGGAGGCAGCCAGGGGTTCTTCAGGCTGAGATCAACCTCTGGAACACATGGTTGGAAGGTAGGAATGCTGAGATTGCACTTCTGAGGGAGAAGGATACTTGGAGGAGGGGTCTGGAGAGGGCAGTTGTAAGAAAGAACCTGGAAGAAAAGAGATGGATGGAGCAGAAGACAAGTTGGCAGTGGGACCTTAGCGGGTAGGGGGAGTGAGGTACCAGGTCCAGGGGAGAGGTGCTTCGGGGGAGAGTACAGGTGGCCAGGGGACCCATTGAGGGACATGTCTTAGAACACAGTCTCCTTCTTCTCCGTATCCAGTGCCCTCCCCCTCCCCAGTCCTCTGTTTGGTGGCTTTTTAAGCTAAGGAAACAGCTGGGCATGATGGGTGCTATCCGTAGCCAGTGGCTTCTGACCTGGTCCTGAGAGTGGGTGGAAGGCTCCAGCTGGGAGTGGGTTCTGGGGACCTCGTGTGAAATAGGACTTGGCTTCCTCCCCAAGCCCCGCCCCTTCCCGCAGCACCACATACTTTTCTCCCCCGATCCCATTTCACTGCGATCTGCTTTCTGGGGTCCTCTTCCTTCTCCTCTTGGGACCTGTCTGGCCGCCTCTGACCCCCTCCACTTGGAGGTGCACCCCACCAACCCTCCCACTAGGTCAAGGACTGCAGGAGAGCCCCCGGTAGACCCAGAGCGGAAGCAAGGAGACAGGTATCAGCTGGAGGTAGAGAGCCTAGTGTTCCGCGGGCCATGATGGATGATGGCGCGGGCAAGCAGGTTCCCAGCGCCTGGGACACCCGTAGCCTGATCAGAGAAAGGGATGGTGATCCTCAACTAGGAAGGGACCTTGCCTCTAGGGCTCCTGACCTCTTGTTGGGATTCACCCTCAGATAGACTATAGGGACCTGAACCTGGCAACGACCTAGAACGATCAGTGGGAGAGCAAGTCCCTTCCCAAGGCCTCCCATCCTGAAGGAAGCTCATGGGGAAGGGTGCTGGGAGAGAGGAGGGTGTTGAGAAGGTGACCAGGCAGTCAGCTCATCTGGGAGGCATGGCCCCGCTCTCCCCCAGGGCCCTGTAGGCACTGAAGCCCGGCTGCAGATCCCAGGTGAGCCAGACAGACGCAGTGGTGGCCCAACCCAGTGTGCCCAGCTGAGACCAGCGGGAGGAGAGCATCTCCCAGAACCTAAGCTGGAGAGGGCAGGCGGAGGAGGGCCCAGGAGGGGAGACGCCAGAACCTGGGGGGAGGCCGAGTTCTGCCAGGCTTTTGGAAGCAGAGAGAATAGTCAGGAAGCAGTCATCAGATTGGCAGATTTGTCCCCAGCACCGCCTGCACCCGCCCCCCCCCATGCTGCTCTGTCTGTGCTGGGAGCAGAGAGGCGCTTTGCGGACCTTTCTTCATTTTTTTCCTGGATCTTCCCTCTCCCTGCTCCCTCCCTGGGTGGTGGTAGTGTGGGAGGGGCTGTCAAGGTTCCTGGGGCATCTTTAGAACGGGTTTCTGTGTCTCCTGCTTTGTCAGTGTTTGCCCTGGCTCTTCGCTGCCTGCGCAGCCTCTCTGATCAGAGCAGGGGTTTGGGGGGAGGAGGGGAGGCGCTCTCAGTTTACTTGGGAAAGGGGTGGGGAGAGAGAAAGGAGGCCTTTTCTCCTTGCGCTTTGTGACGGGGAGGAGGGGCTCTGTGTGCGCACGCGCGCGTGTGTGTGCGTGTGCGTGTGTGTGCGTGCACACACGAGAATGTGCACTGTCTCTGTTTCTTATGCCTGATCATCTCTCTCCCTGTCTAGATCCCTCTAGCTGAGACGGAGGCTCTGTCTCTGACGTCAGAGATTGTGTCTGAACTGTCCTGCTCTGTAGCTCTGACGGATGACTCTTTGCCTGATGACACTCACACACTCTTACTTAGTGCCCTGGAGAGCAATGTACATACACACAGCCCCCCACTGCTCCCCCTGCCTCCCCAGGGGCCGGGCTGGCTGCAGGGCTCCAGCTCCCTCCCCTCCTCTCACTCTGACACCAGGCCCCACCCAGAGGCAACACTTAGTGCTCTAGGCTTTGCTAGGTCTTTCAGGTTCCCCACAGTGGACAAAGCAATTAGATAAGATTAAATTGGGGCCTTGCCAGGAAGGGTCCAGGGGCAGCAGTTGTGAAAGGGTTAATCCAGACGCCCAGGAGTGGCAGAGCTCAGATCAGAGGTGTTATCAGGCAGCTGACCAAACGGCCCCATCTGGAGGCAGAGTTGGTCTCTGTATGTGGAGCCCCATGCAAGCCAGCCCTCCCCCTCCCTGCACCCCTCCTTCCCACCTCCGCTTCCCCCCTTGCCCCAACATGAGCCATTCACCACCACGTAGTGGGTGAGAGCCACATCTCTGCTGCCACCACCATGCCCTTCTCCACCTGGGGGGCCGCTCCTATCTCCCCCGTCACTGTCCCTGTATGTCCCCACGTCCTGGGGCGATTCTTTGTGTTCTGACAGCTTCTCCACCCTTGCCCGGCTCCCCTGTCCCCATCTGACTGTGGGCAGCCCCCTCCTTCCTGTCTTCCCCCTCCTCTTGGGACTTAAGGAGGGACAGGGGGCCCCTCCTCACAGCGGGGCTCTGTTGGGGCAGGGCCTTGACCTTAGGGGTTCCTGGGGGTCTTGGAGTGGTTGGCAGAAGTGGAGCCTGGGGCTGAGAGAGGAAGTAAAGGATCCAGACTGCTTTCTGACACAGCCATTCTCAGGCCTTCTGGGGCTACTTAACTGGCTGGGCCCACATCGGGACACGAACCTACAGCCTCTCTGAGAGCCAGGAACGGACAAGGTGATGCAGAAATCTCTTGGGAACAAGCCTTGTCTCCCTCCAGCTGGGGTCAAAGGCTGATTATCGCCTTTCTTTGAAATAGATTAAAAAAAAATCCACTCCCATCCCCAGTCTGTCCACGAAGGGAGGACCTGAGCCCATGGTACCCAGACCTTGCTCCTCACACACCACCTGCCAGAGTCACTGTGTAATTAAAGGGAGGTGGGGAGGGGGCTGAACCAGCTGTGACACACTCTTAGTGTTCAGCCATCACTCAGCTCACGTGAGCCCCGCCCTTGTCCAGTGCTGGGTGTTGGGGCTGCCTTAGGACTTGGATGGTGAAACAGCCTCCGTTCTGCAGGCAGTCCCGGGGCTGCCTTGTCTCCTGCTCATTAGGAAGGCCCTCCCCTACTCCCCAAGCCCCACCACAGCGATCGGGATGGGGGGCTGTTGTTAGCTTTTAACTCTCCACTGTGCAGCGTCAGAGAATCTCAATGGGGCCTTGAGAATGAGCTCTTGGGCTGGGGGCTGGGGGCTGGGGGCTGCTCTCCCTCCTTTGGACACCTCACCCCTCTGCCATCCCCTGTGGAAAGCTCCAAGATGATGCAGTATGAATAGTTTTCTGGGGGCAGGGCATCCTCCTACCCCCTTCCTCCCTGTGTATGGGGGGCTCTCCATGTATCTGTCCCTTCTCCCCGACCACACTCATCCCATCACCATCTTGTCCAGGGAGGGGATGGGGGCCAGGGCCTTGGCCGGGGGGGTGGGGTGGGGGTGGGCTCCTGGTTACTGTTGCCAAGCTCTGCCTCAGTTACCCAATCTGGATGCCCCCTCTTCCTCCCATCTCCCTCCCCTGTTCCCTTTGCAGATGGAGTCCCACACTGAGGAGGTGCCCGTCATGCTGAGACCAGATCTGCTGACTGTGAGGAAGTCTGGGGTCAGCCGAACGCACTCTCTGCCCAATGACAGCTACATGTGCCAGGATGGGAGCACTGCCGAGGGGTCCCTGGGACACAGGGGCTGGGGGCTCCCCAAAGCTCAGTCAGGTACCAAGGCTGGGGGCAGGCCAGCTCGGCTCACACCAGGAGATCCGTCCTTGCCTAAGCCCAGTCCTGTCCTCGGGAAGTAGGGGTACTGAGGCAGACAAAGAGGTCTCTCCTACCCCTGAGGAGCCCCCAGCCTGAAGGGGTCAGCCAGCCCCCGCCTGAGGGAGCCCCCACCTGAGGGGAGTGGCTTTCAATCCAGGGTGGGGGTTGGGTGGTGAGGGTAGAGGCCCCGGTGGGGAGAGTGGACGGGAGGGACTCAGGTGGGAGCCAGCACACTGACTCTCCAGTTCTTCTCTCTCCCCCTCCCCCCTCCCCTCACAGGCTCTGTCTTGTCCGTTCACTCCCAGCCAGCAGACACCAGCTACATCCTGCAGCTTCCCAAAGATGCACCCCACCTGCTCCAGCCCCACGGTGCTCCCACGTGGGGCACCATCCCCAAATTGCCCCCACCAGCCCGCTCCCCTCTGGCTCAGAGGCCACTCAGGCGCCAGGTGAGCAGGTGTGGCGGGTGGACACGGACCGGGGCTGGTCTCTCTGCTGGGAATCCTAGGCTGTTGGTGGTGACCAGGGTTGCCACTTTCACTCTCCCAGCAAACATTTATTGTGTGCCAGTGATGTGCCAGGCTGAGTTCTAGGTGCCAGGGGCACAGTTCTAGGCAAAGCAGAAGTGGTCTGTGTCCTCTTGGAGTTTGCACCCCCTCCTTTGTTTCGCCGAGGAGGCCCGGAGACCAGAGGGGGCCATGGTTGTCCAGGGACACACGTCAGGTTGGAGGTAGAACCTGGTCTCTGGACTCCCTTTCCGTGGCGCAGAGCTGCCTCCCTATTCTCTGTACTTCTAGACCTAGCTAAGGGGCACAAGGCACGTTTTAGATGTCTCCACTTTTGGCCAAGCCCGGCGCCTACCTTCCAGAGCCCACACTCCAGGGGCACAGAGCAGAAGCTCGTGTAGCCAGGTGAGGCTTGTCTGCCCCCACTGTGACAAGGCCACTACCCACGCCATGTGTGCCTCATGTGTGAGGATAGCTACGTGAGGATCTGCTCAATCCAGCACATCTGGGGAGCAGGCACCGTCCTCATCCCTTCTGCATATATTCGCTGAGCAGCCTCCATGGCCGGGCACCGGGACGTGGACAAATGAGACAGCCCCTGCCCTCTGGAGCGCATGGTATAACAGCAGGGACATACACTCCATCAGGTCATTGCCGCAGCAGGTCACAGGGTGCTCGCGTGTGTGGTGCAGCAGGGAGCAGAGGAGGAAGGGGTCAGTTTTACTTTGGGGTGAAGAGAGGCGGGTATTACATCACAGGGTACCTGAGCCCGTGCAGTCAAGGGATGCTCGCCATTTGGGAAGGGTATTTAAGGCCCAAGAAATAGCCTGTGCAGAGGCTGGGAGGTGCCGCGAGCAACAGCTGGGGAGCAGAGCTGGCCCAGTGCTTTCTTGGATCTGTACAGAGCGATTCCTGCAGGCTGGGGGGTGGGGGGGTGGGGGCACAGTGGACAACAGAGGTCAGACTGCGTATGACCCGCATCTCCCAACAAGAGCAGATACTGGTACCCCTGCCTAGGGTGGTCCTGCCTGAAACTCCACGGAGCGGGGGAGGAGGGGCTCTCTGACCTGCCAAGTGGGACAGTTCACAGGGGAGAGGAAGCCCCTGGGCTGAGCCCTCGCCCCACCCCATACAGGCAGCAATAAGGACGGATTCCCTGGACGTTCAGGGCCTGGACAGCAGGGAAGACCTGCTGTCAGAGGTGAGCGGGCCCTCCCCGCCGCTGGCCGGGGCCTCCTCCTTCTGGGGCCGCTCCAGCGCCCAGGCGCAGCAGCATTCCCACGGCCAGAGCAAGATCTCGAAGCACATGCCCCCGTCAGCCCCCTGCCCGGGCCCAGAACCCACGTGGAGCAAGGGCCCATCAGAGATCAGAAGCAGCTTAGAGCTGGACACGGAGCTGAGCTGGATTTCAGGAGACCTCCTGCCTGTGGGCAGCCAGGAGGAAGCCCCGTCCCCACGGGACCTGAAGAAGTGCTACAGCGTGGAGGCCCGCAGCTGCCCGCGCCGGCCTGCGTCCTGGCTGGATGCACAGAGGAGGCACTCCATCGCCGTCAGCTGCCTGGACAGTGGCTCCCAGCCCCGCCTGGGCCCTGGCCCCTCTAGCCTCAGGGGTCAGCCTCTTGGGGGACCTGGGAGCCGGCCCAAGAAGAAACTCAGCCCGCCCAGTATCTCCATAGAACCCCCAGAGAGCCAGAGCCAGGGCCCTCGGCCCCCACCCAGCCCTGGCGTCTGCCTCCGCCGGAGGGCTCCATCCAGCGACTCCAAGGAACCCTCGGCCGCCGGCCCTCCCGACAGCATGGCTGCCTCGCCCCCCCCAAAGAAAGACGTGCTGAGTCTCTCTGGTTTATCCTCTGACCCAGCAGACCTGGACCCCTGAGTCCTGCCCTCCTCTCCCACTCACCTTTCTCCACTGGGTGCCAAATCGTAGCTCCTCCTCCTGGGCTATACTCCTGAAAAGTTCCATATGGACACCCTCCTCGCCTCAGTGGCCCTGGGCACCGGCAAGCGGAATTTCCAGAGTTGAAAGCAGCAGCCGTGGCCACCCTGCTCCAGGCTGAGAGAGACAGGCCCAGTGGAGCTGAGGTTCCCGACACCAGGAGCTGTTGGGAGAAAGCAATACGTTTGTGCAGAATCTCTATGTATATTCTATTTTATTAAATTAATTGAATCTAGTATTTGCGGGATGTACAACATTTTGTGACTGAAGAGACTTGTTTCCTCCTGCTTTTATGTGTCTCAGAATATTTTTGAGGCGAAGGCGTCTGTCTCTTGGCTATTTTAACCTAAAATAACTAATCTAGTTATATTCCCTCTTCTTGCAAAGCACAAGCTGGGACCGGGAGTGCATTACAGCCCTGGTGGGGGCCCATCTTCAGTGGAGAGCGAGAACCATTTTGGAAACTGTAATGTAACTTATTTTTTTCCTTTAACCTCGTCATCATTTTCTCTAGGAGAAAAAAAGAAAAAAATAAGATTTTACAAATGAAATGGAACCTTTTTATATATACATACATACATATCTATATCTATATCTATAATAAAGTAATTTTCCAAAATAAAAAGTTAATCACGGTCCAAAGTAAAAGCAAGAGGGACAGAATTAGGCATTTCCAGATGGCACTGGAGAGAGATTCCTGGAGATGGGGAGTGGGTGGTGGGGAGGGAAGGGTCAGAGCTGCCTCTGTGTGCGTGTGTGCGCGTGCGTGTGTGTGTGTGCGCGCGCCAGAGAGAGAGAGAGATGCTACACGCCACTCCCCAGAGGGCTGCAATCTTGCAGCCTGGCCTCCCAGGGTGGAGAGAAGCCTCCCAGGGTGCAGAGAAGCCCCTCTGCCGCCTGGCCTCCCAGGGGTAAGGGAGGAGAGAAGCCCCTCTGCTGGTGGCAGGCCGAATGAGCAGAGTGCACTCCTGCTTCTGTCAAAGGTTTATCTCTTCCCCTTAGCCAGGCAGCTCTGCGAATGTGAGTGATTCCAGATTAACTCTTGTTTCTGCTGACAGCTATCAGCCCCACGGCGAAAGCTGGAAATGGGCATAATGAAGCTGTTTTGGTTAATGGGGCCGACTGAGGCTGGGGGAGGCACGTCAGCTGCGGCAATGGGGTTTTGTGAGGTGCAGGGAAGGAGGCAAATGCTTCTGGGTTTCCCTTCCTCAGGCTTCAGCCCGGGTGACGTGAGGAGGGCGGGGGGCACTGACCGGTACTGGCACTGCGGGCACTGCCCCATCAAGGCTGCCAAAGGGATTCAGCTATATAAACAGCGAGCTGCTCCCTGCTGAGATGGAGGGGGCCAGGGCCAGGACCTCCCAGTGGAGTTGATAGGGTGGGGCAGCCAGGCTACTGGAGTGGGGAGCTGGCCCCCTGGGGGGTGATGAATGAGCACCATCAAGGAGTTTACACGGTCTGCTGCTGCCTGCCCAGTGAGAGCTCCCAGAGGAGGGAGGGGGCGAAGGCAGCCCGGCAGGCAGAGGGGAGGAAGGGGAGAGGAGGAGGGGCCAGCGGCACAGCCCAGAACCTCCTTTCTGGGGCTACCATGGGCAATATTCTTTTGTCTGAAACCCTGGTGCCAAGGGCACCAACCACAGACTCATCCAGTCTGTCCCTGCTGGCAGGTAGCTGTCCCTGCCAGCTACCACCTCAACCCCACCCCCTTGAGCACCCTTACCCCCTTACCCCCAGCACCTTCAAACCCCGGGACTCTTGAAACCTCAAAGGCAGCTTGGGTTTGGAAGCCCTCCCCCACAGCCCCCATCTGAACCTGGGATCCTGGGGAACTTGGGGGAGGCTACTGGATGGTTGGACCCGGAAATTTTGTCCCGCCCAGTATTTTCTAAGCTGGTGAAAGTTTTTCTCATTGCTCTTTTGGACGGAAATGACACTGCTCCTTGAAGCAAACACCTGGATTTATCCTCTGAGGGTGTGAAATAGCGGGAAAGCTTTTCCTCTGGCCTCCTCGGGTGGGGAGGGGAGGGTGCATGTAGGAACCGCCTTCCTTAAAAAAAAAAAATGAAAGAAAAGCAAATCTACACAAAATTCCTAGAGTTTTGTCACCTGGGTCTGCAGATTAAGCTTTTATATTTTGGTAGCGTTCTGTAGCTGTCTATTCCTTAATGAGGGTAGGAAATTTGGAGAGGATGCTCTGGGGTCTTTTTTTTCATCTAATGGTTAGAGGATTCTGGGTCAAGGTGCAGCCAGAGAACTGGGCTGCTACCTGCTCCCCTCCACCCCAGACTTCCCAACCACCCTCTGCCCTGAGGACTCCTCAGAGGAGTGGATATGCGGATATCTGAGGGGAGAGAATTGCGGCCTCTCCACCAAAAATGTAAAATCTTTATCAATGATGGAAGCTGTTGTGTCTCATTAGAAGGGTTTTGAAGTGGAAATAATAATCTCATTAACAGTAGTAATAATAACGGGGATACTAACCTCATGATGCTTGTCTGGATGGTTATTTGATTCTGCTCTAGGATACGTCAGCGGTGGGGAGTGAAGGCATCTGAAGGAGGCTGGGGTGGAGGCAGCAGGTCTTGGATTAGGGCCTCCAGGACAGGGCTGGAACTGGCCGGGAGCTTCAGGGATGTGGGGGCTTTTGGAGGTAAGAACATCTACGCTGCACTTCTGCTCTCAGCCTCCTCCTTGTGGGTTCAGAGGGAACTGTGTTAACAGCTGCAGGCCCCCACCTCGGGCTTGCCTGTTTCTGCTTCCTCCACCTCAAGACTCCAGGAAAAGGTCTATCTGGGGGCGGGGGGACTAGGAAGCGGAGCGAGCAGAGCGGGTGCTAAAAACAAATCTGAGGCTCATCTGCAGTATCTCACTTATTTCTCACAATACCCTAGCAAGGGAAGTACCATGGCTATCATTTTCCCAGGATGCAATGGGTTCAGAAAGGTTAAGTGACTTTGCCCAAGATCACACAGCCAGGAAATGGTGGAGCTGAGCTTTGAATCTTGACCTGGCCGACCGCCAGACAGCTGGCTTCACACTACCCCAGCCTCTTTTCCATTGTGGAAGGAATGGGACATGGTGTTAGGAGTCCTGATCACAAAACGACTTGCCAAGGAGGACCTTTCCAAAGCAGTCACATTTGTGTTCATGGAAATGTGCTCCTGAGCTCCCAGTTTGGTGTCCTCAGAGGCTTAGAGGAGCCCATATTGTGTGGAGACAGGCTTGAGCACAAGAGAAGGTGTCCCTCAGCTCCAGGTGCTTGACCAAGAGATGGCCAAGTCTGACTCTGCAATTACCAAGTTTCCCAGGCACCATCTTTCCCTGGCAAAATGCTGCCCTTGAACCTCAAAGCACCTGCTCTCCTTCTCCTCCTCCCACCCCCTCCCTTATTTCTTTCTGTCCTCTCCCCTGCCCCACCCAGACCTCTCTCACTTTTCAAACATTTTCGTCTCCATCGTCACCCCTAATCCCCAGGCATCACAGCCCAGTGCCCCATGACCTCCTCTCACCTTTCCTGTGGGGGGTGGGGGGGGAGGTGGGTGGAGAGCTGGCAACAGCAGTGCAGTGAGGGCATCAAACACCAGGTGGCAGCAACAAGGCACCTTCACCTGGTGCCACCCTGGTGCCCCTTCTGTAGAGGGACCTAGCCAGGGAGAGGACACCAACACTGATGGACACCTTCTGCAGACAGGTGCTGTGTGCAGCCCTCGTAGAAGGGAGAGCCCAGAGCCCAGTGCAGAGCCCAGTGAAGGACTCATCTGTGTGTGGGGAATCCCAGCCATTGGAGCGCTGAGCCCATGGTGCCCAGTGATCCCAGCCCACAGCCAGTGGACCCAGGACTAATCCAGGACAGTGGTTGCCAGGAGAGGAATTACCTCTCAAAAGCGAATTTAGTTGTGGGCTGGCACCCTGCTCTGAGGACACAGCAAGACAGGCCAAGGAGGTGATTGCTCCAGCAAGCATCGATGAGGGAATTCTGCTAAGAACTTCAGAATTCTGTGTCTTAGCACTGGTCCAGGTGTGGGAGATGCTGACTGTGGCCCACGGAGCTAATTAACTGGTCCAGGTGTGGGAGATGCTGGCCGTGGCCCACGGTGCTAATTAATTCTTCTTGCTTTGAAAACTCCTGAAGCAGGCACGGCAGCCAGTGCTCACACACCTGCCAAATCAGATCAAAGCGCAGATTGGGGGCAGGGGGCAGCCTTGCAGAGGCCACAGGTGGGGCCGATGTAGGCCCCACCAGGCTGGGGTCTGGAGGAAAGAGGCCCCGCCCCACGGCATAAGAGGAGAGAGCTGGCGTTTGAGAGCTGGAGGCCGCTTTGGAGCTGCTCCAGACCTTCAAGGAGCCGTGGGGTAAAAGGAGCCAGGAGGTGAGTGGAGGGGAGAGCTAGCAGCCTTCACTGTTCCACACCCTTCCCCCGTCCTGTCAGTTCCCACCTGACTCTCCCCATTTGCAGCATTTCCTGTCCCTGGGTCTCCCTGACCCCCACTTGCTCTGCTTTCTTCTCTCTGCTGTCATTCCTGCTAGAAACTGTAGCTTGCAATTATCTTATCTTTCCATCTTTCTGCCAGGAAACTCTGGATGCTGAGTTCCCCGGGGATACTCACTGGCAGGGGAGACGCAGCACAGCCTGTGTGCACCCTGCGTGGAGCTGCAGTCACTCGAGGAGAGAGGATGGGGCTGGGGTCATTAAAGCTGGGGGATGTCAGTTGCCGGCCAACCCACAGGTCTTTATGGCTCCTCTCAGGACCCTCAAGCTGGAAACGTCTTTGTTCTGAAAACTCAAAAGCAGAGTGGACAGTGCCCACTGCTGGGACTGTACCTAATGCTACAGTGGCCTTGCTCCTTATGACCTCTTCTAAGGACACAGGATGCTTGTTTAGTCAGTCAACAAACATTTTCTAAAGACCAACTTTGCCAGGCACTGTCCTGGGTGCTGAGGATACAGTGATAAACAAGATTGTCCTTAAGATGGTCCCTATCCTTAAGATGTTTGCAGTCTTTTGGGGGAGATAAGCAAGAAAATCAGTGACAGAGTACAGGGAGGGAGGGAGGGCTGTGCAGAGGAAGGGCCCCTAGCCCGGGACAGGGGTGGGGGAGGTTCAAGGAAGGTTTGGGGGAGGGGGGTTTGAGTAAAATCTTCAAGAATGAGTAGAGTTTGTCAGGTGCAGAAAGGGAGGTGAGGCACAGGGAGGAGAGCACGCCCAGCAGTCTTGAGAGGGGCGGGGCGTGAGTGCAACAGCTAAGGATACAGGAAATGCATCCTGCCCCGAGGCTGCATGGAAATAGCCCAGCCTTCAGAGACACGGAGCTCATCCTGCCTCTGCCAGGATAAGACAACTCAGGGTCTCCCTTTTCTTGCTCTGTTGAGAACAACCAAAACCGTAATGTCCTAGGAATAGCGTAGCTGTTATTCAACGGCTGTGTGAACGGGGCCACATTCCGCGAGGGGCCGGGAAGGACAAACTCCCAATGAGTGCCTCGAGAGAGACGAGACGGGAGGAGGCGAGGATTGCCAGGCCCCCACCACGATCTCGGAGGTTCCCACCC